AACACTTTATAACTTTATTTTTTACTAAGTTAATCTTAGTTTTGCTCTTAAATAAACTTATTTCTAACAAAAAAATAAATATAATACTTGAATATTAAATTTAAAGCTTTTAAACTTACTGAGAAATAGCCACCTGGCCTATTTTCTCACATATTTCTTAATAACTCTAAAACAGCTATCTAAACATATTTTCTAAGCTTAGAAAAACTTAAAGAACTCACAATTCCCATCATAACAAGCTAAATTTTAGGCTTGTAGACCTAAAACTAACAGAAATATACTCAAAAAACTTCCTAAACTCCCTTAAGGTTTTTTTTTTTTTTTCTTAAGTTTTTTTTTGCAAAAGAACTCTATAGGCATTTTTCGTGCAACACTAACTATTTTTAGACTTCTTAAAATTAGTGGTTCTCTACTAATTACACCAATTCTATTTTAATTTTTAATTAAAATTTAATATTTACAAATTAGTAAATATTTAACTAACACAAGCTTTATAGTTTGCACCTATTAAATTACAGTTACGCAACACAAATTGTGCCACACTAGCCACACCAGCCACGGTGATACAAGCCGCAGTTACACAAGCCGCAGTATCTAGAGGGTTCTATAGCATAACGTTATACGAAACAAAAATTATACCATTGTGAAGCTAGATATAACTCCGTCTTTAATTTATTAATAAATTTGCTCTACTATGTCTACTTTAACAAGCCAAGAATCAGACATATTAGATCTTGACCATTTTTATCAAAAACATCAAACAACTTATGGTGTAGCAATCTATGAAGATAATCCAGGAAATGTTTTACCAATTCCAAAAAATTTTCGACCAACAGCTTGTTTTCACAAAAAGCTTCATACTGCTCAAAGAGTTACACATTTTTTTTCTGCTTCACTCTTAACTGCTATAATTACTTGTATTTGTAAAAGATATTATACCAAATTTATAGCTCAAGATAACCAAATCTATGATTTTAAACACAATATAGACCCAACTACATCAAGTCACTAAACCAAAAAACTTATCCAACAACTCAATAATACAACTCAAACTATTTCAAAATCTCCAATCTCTCAACAAAAACTTCTTAATGAAATACCAACTACTCCTTCTTCATATCCTCATACTCTTACATACCCAACATGTAATCAACTAATTAACTGCAAATCAATTAATGATCAGCATTCACCTCAAAGTGGTACAATTAGACAAGGCAAAAACTACTACCACTCTACCTGTGCTGCTTCTACCTCTTCCTCAGTCTCTTTTATCTCTGCACTACCTGATGAAGTTATAAGACAACGTATGGAACAACTATCAAGATCTACATCCACTAAACAAAATACTAATCAAACTACTACCCAAACTACTTCTACAACTTTTATTATTACATCTCAAAACTCACAACAACTAAATCAATCCAAATCTAAACATCCACAACAACAACAACAACAACAACAACAACATCAACAACAACAACAACAACAACAACAACAACAACAACAACAACAAAATAGACCAGTAACTTATTTAAAAACTAAAACCTCTTCCTTATTTAAATTACAAGCCAAACCACCCTCTATATCTAGCTTGGTAGATAATTTCCAAAAATCTAATCAGACTCAAAAGCCTTAATCACAAGTTAAAAATAACAAACCAAACCTCCTTAACAATCTTTTTTCACTTACTTCAACTCAAGAACCACAATCTAATACTGATATAGAAGTCGATCATCCACTTTCTCCTCCAAAGCCTTCTCCTGTTAATTAATTTTTTGCTAAAACTAGCTCTACTCAATCATCAAATTTAACTCAAACTAACTCTTCTAAAAGTACTAATTTACCTCCAACTATATATAAAAACAAAGAAGCTATTAAATATACACAAAACTCATCTAATATCTCTGAACCTAACTCAAAACAACCAATTGAATCTAAACTTAAATCTAAACCAAATCCATCATATGATTGGCTACTTAACTTTCCAATTACCCAAGAAATGGAACCAAACAAAAAACTTCAAACCAAATTTTCTCACCATCTCTTTGAATTTCTTAAAAATCATCTTTACAACTTCTTTCCTGGAAGAGAAATTAAACCAGAAAAAGAAAACCAACCAACTTATAAAGCTTCCTTTAAACATTTTCTTCGTTCAATGGCTGGCTTGCGTCCTAAGTTTTTAATAGATCTAATTCATGAATATAATCCAAACATTAGTCCAGATACAACTATTCCTTTTGACTATCTTGAAACAACACTCCACACAATTATCTTACAATTTACTACAGTTCTTTTCACCAAACTTAACTACAAAGAAATCTTTGCTTCACCTGCCACTGTTCTACCTTACAAAACACAAAACCGACTTCATCTCTGTTTAAACCTTGCACAACTACATCTTTATCTCTCAAACAAATATCAGTCTATAAACTACAGAAAATTTGAAGAAGACTTTGATTTTAGATCTAAATATCCCAAAATTGAATCATCTATTACAAGCATAGATAAAGACAAACCATATTTTAAAATTAAATCAGACTCAAAATTCAATATTCAACTTCTATTTAATATTCCTAAAACTCTTTTTCTACAAACCTTCTGTACCCCACCCTTAACAAATTCACTAAATATTTACAAAGAATGGTTCAATAAATTCTTTCCAGTCTACTCACGCCAATTTAATATTCCACCTGATGAAAAAGAAACTTATCTTCTTCTTAAAAACAAAATACGCCGACAATTCATGCAAATTTTTACCATCTAACTTTGAATTCCAAGAACCATATAAACCACTACAATGTCAACACGAAGCTACCAAAGCTACAAATTATCATATGCTAACTTGCAATGATAAAGATTGTAAATATCTAACAGAAAAATTCTTGCATAAAAGAGACCAACTATACAAAGATATACTTAATAAATCTTATACAATATACCCAAAAAAAGATTTAGAAATACTTCAAGAACCTACTCTTGATCCATCTATCTTTCATATTGATGGAACTCATAAAGCTACCCTCAAAACAACCATACCTACTAAACTACTTGAAGACTTAGCAAAAACAGCTAAAGAAGCAGTCTGTAAACAGAATAATATCACTACAAGTCCAAACCGTTGTAGAGTCTATTTTTACAAATATCTTGCTCTTTATCATCAAATAGCTCTAGAAAACCACAATATACCTAACAACTCTCAAGCTATTTATACTGTTGTTGATACCCACTTTCTAGCTAGAATTATAACCTATTTTGACTGCATACAAAAACAAACTTATACCTTCTCTCAAACTATTAAGTACTACAAAGAATTTGCCTATCCGAAGGCAAAAAAAATACTAAAAGAAAAATTCAATCTTAACTTCCAACCTATTCAAACTACTGATCTAGATTCTTTATTCTTAGATCATTCTTTTCTCTAACTTTGTCTTTTACAAACAACATAAATGCAGCCACCACCTTATTAAAAGATACACCCTCTGTAGTTAATAAGGTGAATGATGTAAGTAGGCAGGTAAATAAGCCTATTTATGTGGAGGTCCAAGATAATAATGGTCAGACCCAATGTACAGGGCAGACTTTGGATACCTGCACAGCTGTAAGAGCCAAGCCTAAAACAGTGAGCAACCCTGTAAAAGACAAAAACCTCTTCTCAGACAATATTACATCACATTCTTCTGAGGAAACTTGCTATAACAAATTTCTTAAAAAACACAACCTCTCATTACTTAACTCTAATCAAATTCTCAAATCCTTTTTATATCATCTCCTAAAACAATCCTTCTACAAACCCTACAAAATATCTCTCAATATATATACACATGAAACATATATTTATCTTGATATTAATGATCAACTTTTGATGAATCATAGAATTATACCACTATATCAATTTCCAGCATACTATAACTCTTTTATTAAGTCAATAACTCCTTCTAATTCCATTTCTACCTCATCTTCTTCTAATACTTCTTATAATAGTTCTCAAACACAATCAAATAATACTTCTTTTTTCAACAACAATACTATATCAACTTCTCAAACTATCAAAATTTGTACACTCAACACTAATGGCCTCTCAACTAACTCTAAACAATTACTTATATATAACTATATTATAGAAAATAATATTGATATTTTTGGTTTATCAGAAACACATCTAACTGAAAAAGAAAGTGATCTACTACCTCTTACACAAAGCCTTACTAATTTTTCAAACTTTTGGAGCCCACCCATTATATTAAAAAAAAGAGGTGTTGGAATTTATATTCACACTAACTTATCTAAATATATTAAATGTATACAAGAATATCAAGGACATATTATCTCTTTAGACCTCTTTCTTCCAAACAATCCACTCCATATTATCCAAGTCTATTTTCCAACACAAGAAAAAAAACAACTAAAAACTGAAATAACAAACTAAATAATTAAACTTATACAAAAAACTACTCATAAAATAATTTTAATGGGTGATTTTAATACAACACCCAATCCCAAATTAGACCGTTCTCCAGCAAAAAGAACACAAACACCTGAATCACAACTTATTAAATTCCTTACTCCCACATGCATGATACCTTCTGTCTCTTTCATCCCAACTCTATAAAATTTACCTTTAGTCACAACAATAGTTATAGTAGAATTGACCAAATATGAACAAATATACATATAGCTTCTTTGGACTATGCAGATATTATTGAAGATGCTGCAATAGAATTAGATCACAATATTATTCTACTTGAATTTTCTATTCTATTAACACTCTCCTCTTCATATAAACAACCCCCTAGAAAAGTTCCTCTTTGGAAACAAGTATCACCCGAACAAATCCAAAAGTACCAAACACATATAGATCAAAACTTAACCAAAATTTATTCACATATTTCACAAATTCAAAACCAAGTAGAACTAGATAAAACTTATGAAACAATTAACAAAACCTTCACAAAAGCTTCTCTTAAACATATTCCTTACAAAAAAATTAAAATTAAAAACAATATTAATCCTTTTTATACCAAACCAACACCTATTCAACTTAAATACAAAAACATATTAACAATTAAAAAACTAATCAAATCTCCCAAACTTCCTCAACTAATTACAAACTATTATAATAAATACACAAACAATACTTTCTTTAATCTTACTAATATACAAACTCTTATTCATATCCCAACTATAAAAAGTATTCTTAAATTTGAAATTAAACAAATTAAAATACTTCTAGAACAAGAAAATAACAATATACTGCTTCTGAAATTAAACACAAATTACAGGAACATAATACTAATTTCATTCAAAACCCTAAATTATTTTACAAAAAAGTCTTAGAAAAATTTAGCAGCAATGTGTCACTGGACAGACTTCTATTTAACAATTTCTTACTTACAAACTCTGAAGAAATCAAATCTGCTACTCAACAACATTTCCAAAACTATTTTCAAGATCAACCACTTCCAGAT